TGTCATTTCACTGCACCCTCCTCTTAGTTAGTTTCATTTCCTGCTGCTAATAACAGATATTTTGCTCACTCTATCCTGCAATTTGCTTTCATCTCAAGAAGTCCCTCGAAATGACTGAAAATTCAGAATTAATCACAGGCTCACTAATTAGCACCTAATACTTAAAACTCAGAACGGCAATGGACGATGACTCACACTGTTGGAAGAGTCGTCACCGAGTAAGAGTTTGACATAAAGAATGTTCTACTTCATAAAAAAGTCCCTTGGCCCAAGAGCCAGGCTCCGTGACAGCCTGAGGGGTTCTGAGGTCACTGCCTTCCGTTCCGCCTTCCGCACAAAAAGCCTGCGTGTGTACTTCTGGGAGAGCTGACGGGGACAGCCCTGAGAAGTCGGGAGGTCGGGGGTGTGGTGTCACCCTTCCCACCTGCTCTGGGGCTCGGAGTCCTCTCGGGTGCCCGTGGGAAGTGCAAGTCCGCGGCCCACCCTCAGGAGGTCTGAGGAACGGAACACGTTATCCGCCCACACTCCGTCCAGCTCCTCCTGACGTAAGAGGCCCTCTGCCCACATTAAAGAAACGTGCCAACGGATTACCTTCTACACAGCAATCATGGTACAAGAATTTGAGGCTGGAAATTTAAGTCTGTGTGGGCAAAAATAGACATTTCCAAGTATATGAGTGAACACAGGACAGCTACATAAACACTTTCATGCTTGTGAATAATCTGTTAGTAATAATAAACACGTAGGCTGACTCCAGCCAGGCACCGTTCCAAGTGCCTTGTTTGTTGTAACTCGGAGCCCTCACCACTACACCATTTGGGAAGTACTACCATTACTCCAATCAGAAACACAGTTTATTATTACGGCAGTTTTAGGTTCACAGCAAAACTACGTGGAAGGCACAGAGAATCCCTGCACACCCCCGTCCCACCCGCACGTGCACGGCCTCCACTGTCGACACCCCCAGCAGATAGCACCTTCGCTACAACCGATGAGCCCACACGGACACGTCATCATCACCCAGATGTACGGCTTGCCTAAGGCAGCACTCCAGGTGGTGGACATTCTACGGATTTGGGCAAATGTATAAGGACACGTATCTGTCATTATAGGATCACACAGAGAATCTTCACTGCCCTGAAAATCCTCCACGCCCCATTCAGTCACCCCTACCCCCACCCCAGCAACTCCTGATCTGTTCACCGTGCCCACAGATTTACCTTTTCCAGAATGTCAAGTAATTGGAATCATACGGTATGTGGCCTTTTCAGATTGGCTTCTTTCACTTAGTGACACACATTTAAGGCCTCTCCACATATTCTGTGGCCAGCAGTCCATTTCTTCTTAGTGCTGAGTAATATTCTATTATCTGGACGGACCACGGTCTGCTTATCCAGCCGCCTGCTGAAGGATATTCTACTTGCTACCAAGGCTTGGCAATTATGAATACAGCTGTGTACACATCTGTGTACACATCTGTGTACACATCTGTGTGCAGCCTATTTGTGCAGGCGTGGGTTTTTCAGCTCCCGTGGGCAAACACCAAGGACCATGACCACAGGACCATATGGTAAAAACATGTTTAGGTTCATATATTATTCCCATTTTGCAGATTACAGAATCAAGGCAAAGAGAAGTCAGAAAACTTGCCTGCAGTCACACAGCTATTAAATGGTGGAGCTGGGATCTGAATTCACACTGTTCATTCCAGTCTGTTCTCTTCACCACCATACACACACAGCCTCTCAACAGTAAAGACCTCGCACTGAATAAAGGAAACTCCCCTGCTGTTTGCATGCAATGCAATGAATGCAATGTTGTATGCATTCTAACTTTGTGGCGCTGATAATTCCTTGGCTCCCAAGAAACTTTTCAGACCTCCCTATTCACACAGCAAGACTTTCACATTCGTTCTGCTCTGTGCAGACACTTGGCTGATCCTTCCTTCATCCAAATCTCAATGCACTGCTGTCCCAAAGACAGGTGTCAACCACACACCTCCTTCACATATTTGGGCTACTCCACGATGGAGGGTTGTTGGCACTTATCAGCTCTGCGACCGTAAGCACATTCACTGCCACCTCTGAGCCTCACACCTGCCCTGCGGTCACCGTAAAGATGCCCCACGAGCTTGTATACAGACCTAATTCCGTGCCCGACTCATAATTCAGTCTATCCTCAACACAGCAGCCAGGGTCACCCGGGTCACACCACCCTTCTCTTCAAACCCACGTAGCCACCCTGTTTACAATTTAAACCAGCTCCCCTCTGTTTCCGTGTCCTCAGGACTTCTGAAGAAAACATGGAATACGGCACATAATTTACTGATTTATCCCTATTATATTATTATCTGCCTTCCCCACTAGGAGGTCAGCTCCACGAAGGCAGAGTTTTGTCTGCTTTGTCAACTACTGTATACAACAGGGCCCAGCACACAGTACATGCTCAATAGATTTAGTGAATGAATACACGAATAACCATTCAAAGGTCATGACCACCAGCACCACCGTCATTTGACGTCATTTGACATCGCTGTAAAGGGGAAATAGCAGCTATGCCTCACCTGTCTCAGGTTACAGCACCACATGCAAACACAAGGAACTGTTTCCTTATCTTAGTTTTCCTGATCACATTTACATCTCCAACCCCTTGCTGGTCTTCAACCTGACAGATGGGTGTCCCTTCTAATTCCCGGAGGGGTGGGTCTGTTGAACTTCAACTTCCTCTCCTTCAGGATGTTTTCCCTAACACCAATTACGTATTTTATCACATCCCTTCATCATGCAGGGCCGACTGCAGATTTACCTAGGGGCCCGGATGCTTCCTGACACCACACTTGTATTTTGTCCTTAAAGAATTATAGCACTTTTTATGAGTCCATATGCAGTAAAACAAATGAAAAACCCTATTTCTTTTAAATGGAAACATCCTCACTTCTGAATCTGCAAACTCAAACAAAATGAGGAAACTGAATGAAATTCTTTTTCTCCTCAAATCACCTGGGGGTAGGGAGGCAACATTTAAAAGGTGCTTTTCCTTCTTGAAGCCCCTCCAGACCTTCTTGCAAGGTAGGTCCTCTGGGAAAGAGCTGGCAGTCTGCCTGAACCTCACGGGCTGCTGTGATCTCACACCTGCACTGCACCTTTGGGAAGGTCCCTGGGCTCTCAGGAGATTCATCACTGATCAGGGAAAACAACACACAGCAGGACCCTTGCCGCTGCATCATCTGAAGAAGTATGCTGTCTGGTTCAGGTGCTCCAGAAAACACCTTATGATAAGGAAATGGGTGCGACGTTAACAATAGGCGAAGCAGATCTTCGCAAGCAGGGTTCCCACGCTCCTAGCCTTTTCCCACAAACAGCCACACCAGGATCATTCCCACAGATGTAAACACACCTCACTCACATCAGTGTCACCACCACAGGTACTTCTAAACTCATCAAGATGTCAACCCTTCCTGACTCAACACCCATCAGAGGGGTTCTCTTAAAAGCCCAGCGGCCGGGCCTCACTCCCAGAATTTCCACTTGGTAGGTCTGGGTGGGGCTGAGAATCTGCATTTCTGCCTAGTTTGCAGGACGCTTTATTTTTTTTTTTTATAAAATTTTTTTTAACATTTATTCATCTTTGAGAGACAGAGAGAGACAGAGCATGAGTGGGGGAGGGGCAGAGAGAGAGAGACACACACACAGAATCCAAAGCAGGCTCCAGGCTCCTAGCTGTCAGCACAGAGCCCAATGCGGGGCTCGAACTCACGAACTGTGAGATCATGACCTGAGCTGAAGTCAGATGCCCAACCAACTAAGCCATCCAGGTGCCCCTCCAGTGATGCTTTGAGAATGAGGTGTTAGACAAGCAGCTTGCAGTCACATAACAGCAGGTATTCATGGAGGCTACTGTGAATGCAGGGCCCCTGGGTTCTGTTTAGCAGTCACATAATGAAGGCTTCCTTTTACAGTTCTTCCTTCCACCAACCTTCACAAAATCCCAAAATACATTAAGAAGCCCCACCGCATCAACCAGACCTAGAAAAAGCTTCACATACCTGGGTGAGCCCTGGGTACTAATGTTCCCACCAACATCCTAGTTTGGACCAAGCAATCACCTGGAATCAGGTCACTGCTATGCCGGTGGTATCCACAGGAAGAAACACTCCCCACGGCAGCCACCAGACACCACACCACTTTGCTCAGCCTAATTTGGATTCTTAACCAACAGATGTTAATTAACTAAATATTCCTTTTTAGTAAATATATAAGTAGCGTGGATATAAAATTATGTTCACATTTAAATACATTTATATGACATGCTGTTTACAACTTTTTCAATTTCAGGTAGTTCAACATGAAAAGCTTAAAATAATGAGGAAAACAGTTTGTTATTCACTTTTCTATCCTTATTTATAGACTAAGAAGATAACATGATTTTCTACCTCTTCACTTCCTGAACTATTTCTCTAAAAGAAACTATTCTTTTTAAAAAAATTTGTTAATGTTTATTTATTTTTGAGAGAGAGAGAGAGAGAGAGAGAGAGAGAGAGAGAGAGAGAAAACGAACAAGCAGGGGAGGGACAGAGGGAGACATAGAATCCAAAGCAGGCTCCAGGCTCTGAGCTGTCAGCACAGAGCCTGATGCGGGGCTCGAACCCACAAACTGTGAGATCATGACCTGAGCCGAAGTTGGACGTTTTACCAATTAAGCCACCCAGGCGCCCCTAAGAAAAAACTATTCTGTGAAACACATTTCAGTACTTGGGTGACAAGTCTGGGTGACTTAAAACATAAGCGGGAGTGTGGCTCCTGGATCTTCAAAGGCTTAGATCAAACTTTCCACAGGAAGATACATAGAATTTCTGGTTTAAGTAGTGGACTAAGCTAGCTTTCTCTTACACTCTCATACTCTAGCTTTCTCTTCCTCCTAAGACCCCAATGCAAAGAAATTTTAAAAAGAATAACCCCACAGAGCAAGAAGCAGGAGGAGGTTATCGGTGAACTAGTTACCTTAGTAAGCTCCCAGAGGAAAGAAAGCAGGTAGAAGTAAAGAGGTCAATAAACCAGAGGTGAGGAAGCTGTAGCCCAGAATATGCCCATGCATATTCTGCAGAACACATAGCTGTGTCTCTTCAGAAAGATGGAGAACAGGGAGGTAGCCATCTTCCAAGTGTTGAAAGAAATAGACAGTCAACCAAGAATTCCACATGCAGCTAAACTCTTCCTGAAAAAAATGGAGAAATTAAGTCATCTCCAGATTTAAAAACAAACTTCAAAAAAACAAAACAGAATCTGTTGTTATTTGTTATCAGTCTTGCTTTACAAGAAATACTGTATTTCAGTCCAAAATAAAGGACACTAAAGGGTAACTTGAATCCAGACAAAGAAAGAACAAAAAAGCTCACAAAATAAGCATTATAAAAATACATATAAATAAAACTCTTTTCTTTATCTGTTTTAAAAGATGCCTACATAAAGTACTAATTATGAAAATGACTTGAACAGCTTATAATGTATAAAGATGTAATTTGAACTGAATGCCGGTAATAGTACAAAAGAGAGAGAAAGGAATGAAGGTATATTGGAGCAAAGGTTTTGTATGTTACTAAAATTAAACTAGTATTAATTTGAATTAGACTGTTTTAAGCTAAGATACTAATTGTAATTCCAGGGTAAACACATAGAAGATTACTCAAAATACATAGTCAAGAAACAAAAAGGGAACTGAAAATGTATATTAAAAAAATATGTAACATGAAAGAAGGCAAGAATCAATGAATAAAGAAACGCAAAAGACGTCAGACATACAAAAAAATACAAAAACGGTAGGTATAAATTCTAATTTATCAGTAATTTATCAGTAATGTAATTATGTTACATTGAATGTAAATGGATCAGATATTCTACCAAGTAAAAGAATGGCAGAACAGAGTTTTTAAAAGATCTATCTAACAAAATACAGGTAAGACCTACATGAGGAGAACTACAAATCATTCATAAACAAAATCAAAGATGAACTAAATAAATGGAAAGATATTTATGTTCATGGCTAGGAAGATTCAACATTGTCAAGATGCCAATTCTTCTCAACTTGGTCTATAGACTCAAGGCAGTCCCAGCCAAAATCCCAGTAAGTTATTTTATGGATATCATTAAAAATATTTCTAAAGTTTATAGGGAGAGGCAAAATACCTAAAATAGCCAACACAATACTTAGGGAGAACAAAGCTGGAGAAATGACACTACATAACTTCCAAGACTTACTATAAAGCTACAGTAATCAAGACAGTGTGGAATTGGCAAAAGAACAAAACTATAGATCCATGGAACAGAATAGAGAGTCCAGAAACAAACCCACAGAAGTACAATCAACTGATCTTTGACAAAGGAGCAAAAGCAAAACAACGGAGCAAAGACAATCTCCTCAACAAATGGTGCTGGAACAACTGGACATCCACATAACAACAACATCAAAAATCTAGACACCAATCTTATACTCTTTACAAAAAGTAATTCACATGGATGGCAAACCAAACCATAAAATGTAAAACTATAAATCCATGATAAACCAGGAGAAAACCTAGATGACCCTGGGTGTGGTGATGCCTTTTTAGATACAACACCAAAGACATGACCCATGAAAAAGTAAATAAGCTGGACTCAACTTAAAAATTCTGCTTTGTGAAAGACAATGCCAAGAGAATAAGAAGACAAGCCACAGACTGGGAGAAAATATATGCAAAAGACACATCTGATGATGAAATGTTATCCAAAATATACAAAAAACTTTTAAAATTCAACAATAAGAGAACAATCTGATTTAAGAAATGGGTCAAAGAACTTAACAGACGCCTCACCAAAGAAGATATACAGATGGAAAATAAGCACATGAAAAGATGCTCCACATCATATGTCATCAAAATGCAAATGAAAACAGTGAGATACCCCTTGACACCTGGCTCACTTTAGATTCAAAGACACAGGCTGGCAGAAAAAAAGATGGAAAAATATATACCATGTAAAGCAGTAACCAAAATACGGCTGAGATAGCTATACTAATACCTCACAGAACACTGTAAGACAATAATTGTTATCTGAGGCAAAATAAGGACATTTTACAATGATTAAGAAATCAATTCATCAGGGGCGCCTGAGTGGCTCAGTCGGTTGAGCGTCCGACTTCAGCTCAGGTCATGATCTCAAGGTCTGTGAGTTCGAGCCCCGCGTCGGGCTCTGTGCTGACAGCTCAGAGCCTGGAGCCTGTTTCAGATTCTCTGCCCCTCCCCCACTCACGCTCTGTCTCTCTCTGTCTCAAAAATAAACAAAAACATTAAAAAAAAAAAAAAGAAATCAATTCATCAGGAAGATATAATGACTAAATGTCCATGCACATAAGAACAGAATCCCAAAATACACAAAGTAAAACTGAAAACCTGAAGAGGTTGTGTTGAAATGGGACAATTCAACAAAAATAGTTGGGAGACTTTAATATTCCACTTTCAGAAACAGAGAGAAAATGAGGCAGAAGATCAACAAAGAAACAGAAGACTTAAAGAATACCACAACTACCTAGTTGTAGCAGACATTTACAAAACACTTCAAGTCCACAAAAGCAGAACACGTATTCTTCTCAAGTTCACATAGAACATTCTCCATAGTAGACCATATCCTAGGTCATAAAACAAATCACAGTAAATTAAAAATGAATTAAATCATAGAAAATATCTTCTTTGACCACAATGAAATTAAATTAGAAGTTAATGACAGAAGAAAGTCATAGATATATAAAAGCTAAATATATATTTAAACAACCAATGAGTCAAAGAAGAAAATACAACAGAAAATATAAAATACTTTGAGATGAAATGAAAACATACAAAATATCAAAACTTGTGGGGTAACCAGTTATAGCAGTGCTTAAAAAGGAAATTTAGAGATATAACTGCATGTATGAAAAAAAGGGAAAGATTATGGTCTGCTGGGGGGGAAAAAAAGGAGAAAGAACTCAAATCAATAACCTACTATTTCACCTTAAGTAACTGGGGAAAAAAAAGAACAAAATGAATCCCAAGCAAGCAGAAAGTAGGAAATGAAAAAGAACACAGTGGAAATAAATGAAATAGAGAAAAACAAAAATAAAAGAGTAAATCAATGAATCCAAAATTTGGTTCTTTATAAAAATCAACAAAATTGACAAATTTTCAGCTAGACTAACCAAGACTCAAGTACTAAATCAAGAATAACATGGGGTGCCTGAGTGGCTCAGTTGGTTAAGCGTCTGGTTCTTCATTTCAGCTTGGGTCATGATCTCATGTTTTCTAAGTTTGAGCCCTGTGTCAGGCTCTGTGCTAATAGTGCAGAGCCTGCTTGGGATTCTCTCTCTCCCTTCTGTCTCTGCCCTACCCCACCTGCACGCGCGCCTTCTCTCTCTCTCAAAATAAACTTAAAGAATAACAAAAGGGACATTATAACTAACTTTACAGAAATAAGGATTATAAAAGAATATTAAGAAGAAAAATATTCCAACAAATAGTGAGATGAAACAAATTACTAGAGAAACACAAACTACCAAGAATACCTTCATGAAGAAATAAAAAATCTGAATAGACCTACAAGAAGTAAAGAAATTAATTTCAAAAATTTCACACAAAGAAAAACCAAGCCCAAATGGTTTCACTGGTGAGTTCTACCAAACATTTAAAGAATTAACACTAACCTTTTCAAACTCTTTCAAAAACAGAAGACTGTCATAATTGATTCGATAAGTACAGTATTACACTGATACTAAAATGGGAAAGATATCACAAGAAACCACTGACCAACATCCCTTACAAATACAGAGACAAAAAGCCTTAAACAATGTTAGTAAACTGAACCCAACAACATAGAGAAAAGTATATACACCATGGTCAAGTGGAATTTATCTCAGGAATGTAAGGCTGGTTTAACGTTAAAAATCAATTAATGTAATACATCAACATAATAAAGGACAAAAACCACATGATCATCTCAATAGACACAGAAAAAGCATTTCCAAGTCCAACATCCTCTCAAGGTAAAAGCACTCAATAAACTAGCAGAAGAGAATTTTCTCAACCTGATAAAGGGCATCTATGAAAAGCCCACAACTAACATCATGATCTACAGAAAGATTGAGGGCTTTCTCCTAAGATCATGAATCAGACAAGGATATGTACTCTCACCATGTCTGCTCAACATTATAATGAGGTTCCAATCAGTGCAATGATCCAAGAAAAAGAAATAAAAAGCTTACATATTGGAAAGGAAGAAGTAAAACTATTTCTATTTGCAGATAGGGTGTTATATTTAGAAAGTTCTAAGGAATCCACTAAAAAGACTAGAGAACTGATAAGCAAGTTCAGCAAGTTGGCAAGATACAAGAATGATACACAAAAACAATTTTATTTCTATAAGCTTGAATTATAGTTTTAGTTCTATAAATTCTGTTAAAAATGCTCTTTTTCAAGTCAAGGCAGTTCCCTTTTACTCCTAATTTTCTGGTAGGTTTTTTTTTTTTTTTTAGAGACAGGGAGAGGGAGTGCATATGTGGGGAGGGAGGGATAGGGGGACTGGAGGGGGAGAGAGAAAGAGAGAGAGAGAGAATACCTTAAGCAGGTTCCATGCTCAGTACAGAGCCCAATGAGGGGCTCGAACCCATGAGTCTGGGATCATGACCTGAAGTGAAATCAAGAGTTGGATGCTTAACCGACTGAGCCACCCAGACGACACCTCATTCTGAGAATTTTAATAATGGTCACTGCTTAATTGTGTCAAATGCTTTTTCTGCATCAACTGATATAAATGTATAATTTCTGTCTCTTTAACCTGTTGATATAGTGGATTACCCTGACTGATTTTCTTTTTTCTTTTAAAATTTTTTTTTTCAACGTTTATTTATTTTTGGGACAGAGAGAGACAGAGCATGAACGGGGGAGGGGCAGAGAGAGAGGGAGACACAGAATCGGAAACAGGCTCCAGGCTCTGAGCCATCAGCCCAGAGCCTGACGCGGGGCTCGAACTCACGGACCGCGAGATCGTGACCTGGCTGAAGTCGGACGCCCAACCGACTGCACCACCCAGGCGCCCCTGATTTTCAAATACTGAACCAGCCTTGCTCCCTCTCTCAGCACTGCTTTAGGTGTGGCCCACAAACTTTGGTACGTTGAGATTTCATTCAATTCAATGTATTTTCTTTTAAAAAAAATTTTTTTTAATGTTTATTCATTTTTGAGAGACAGAGCATGAGTAGGGAGGGGCAGAGAGAGAGGAGACACAGAATCTGAAGCAGGCTCCAGGCTCCAAGCTGTCAGCACAGAGCCTGATGCAGGGCCCAACCCACAAACCGTGAGATCATGATCTGAGCGGAAGGCAGACACTCAACCGACTGAGCCACCCAGGCACCCCTCAACTCAATGTATTTTCTACCAAGACAAGCACATCCACACTTGTCACTTTTATTTAACACAGTATGGAGACCAGAGCAATAATTCAAGAAAAAAAAAAAAAGTGGAAGGTTTTCATACTGAAAAGGAAAAAGTATAATTATATTTGTTCAAGGATGACATATTATCTATGTAGAACATCTGATGCAATCTACAAAAAAATCTATTAGAAACAATAAGTCAATTTAGCAGGACTGTGGTATACATATCAGTATATAAAAACCAATCACATATTATATAATAAGGATAAGTAATGAAGTTAAAATTGAAAACATAATAACATCAAAAAGTAAGAAATATTTAGGGCTACATCTGATAAAAGAGGTAAAAAGTTTGAATACTAAAAACTATAAAGCACTACTAAGAAAAATTAAAGAGGACCTAAAAGGAAGGGCAAGATCTACTGTGTTCATAGTTGAAAAGCCTAGTTAACATATCAATTCTCCCCATAATGACCAATAGAGCCATCACAATTTCAACCAAAATCCTATGGGGACTTTGTAGAAACTGAAAGCCAATTATGAAACATACGGAAATGCAAAGGATCCAGAGTAGCTAAAACACCATAGAAAAAGAAGGAAAAGTTGTCTATCTAACACTACTTACTTTCAAACAACAGTAATAAAGAGTGAGGTAGTAGCTTAAAGTCAGATAAATGGAACAATGGGACAAAAAAGAACACCCAAAAACATAGCCACACCCGCTGGACAACTCATTTTTGACAAAGATGCTAAAGCAATTAAGTAGAAAAAGTATGCTCTTTTCAACAAAGTGTGCCGGAACCACTGAAAATCCATGTGCAAAAAACGTGAACTTCAGATGACATCTCATACCTCATATAAAAATTAACTCAAAATTATCATACACCCAAATGCAAGAACTAAAAACATAAACTTTACAAACATGAGAAAAAACTGACAGAACTGAAAGGAGAAATAGATAAATCCACCAAGTACAGTTGGAGGCTTCCACACTCTTCTCCAAAAAATTGAAGATCAGTAAGAATACAGGTGACTTGAACAGCACTCCCAATCGGCTTGGTCTAATTGGTACGATTCACCCACCAACAGAAGTGCACACGGAACAGCACCGGACAGACCACTGCTGCCACACAAAACACATGTCAACAGCGTGAAAGCATAGGAGTGACACAAAGTCCTGCTTCGTGGCATATCAGAACCAAAGCAGACATCGGTAATAGAAAGATGGCTCAACAATTAGAAATATTGGGAAGTTGAACAAATACTTCTAAACGACACATGTGTTAGGAAGTCCCAAGAGACAGCTTTAAATATTTTAAACTAATAAAAATGAAAATACAACTTATCTTGCAGAACAATGTGAATATACTTAATACTACTGGATTGCACACCTGCTTGCTAAAAGGAAGACCACAAAATTCTCAATTTTCAGCTCCAGCGAATGGAGGCCCCGAAACAAAACCAAAACCTCATGGTTTCTGCTCTTACTGCAAAGGGCCAGGACGCTGCGGAAAGACCGTTGCCAACTGGAGTGATCCAGGCACCTTCGACCCTCTAGCCAACCTATTCCAATATCCTCCTCATTCCCGGGGGGGGGGGGGGTCCACGGAACTCCTGGCGTTTCCCAATCCCCCCTCTTCATCGACCTGGAGGAACCACTCTCCAGACTGGGAGTGAATCTCTGCCCGTCTGGACTCTCGGTGCTCCACGCGCCACCACCAAGCAGCCCTCCCCTCGGAGCACTGGAACAGCTCACGGCGCGGGGTCTCCAATAAACCCCAGCAGGCTCCGTCCCTGAACCCACTCCCTCCGTCTGGGCCCTCTGAGAGACACACGCCCTTTTCTCCTTCCTTCCTCTGCCCATTCGCTTATTGGGCTGAGGTGTCTTAGAAAAATTTCATGCTGCGACTCCTTCCTCCCCAAAGGGGGAAATAATCCTAGAATTTGACAGCAGCAATCAAAGTGGCCAAATCGGTAAGTCAAATGACCCTTCAACGTCTTCTGTTTGCTCCTTCTCCGAGCTAACCAGAGCTAAGTCCAAAGACACTGATCATTTGTCCCTGTTAGATCAGCTACCACTCTCCTCATGGGCAAAACCTTCAGCTGGTATTAGCAGAACCCACAGTGCACCTCCCATCAAGATTCGAACAGATCCTCCAAACTCTCTCCCCAGAATTAACCAATACTCTCTAAATAAAGAAGCCCTTCAAGGCATCAAGCCCATAACACAAGGTTACAAGGCTCAGGGCCTCAGTGATCCTGCACTAGTTTCTGTAATACTCTATTTTACCTGTGAGAAAACTCAATGGCTGAGGACGACAGTTTGTCCAGGATCTCCACACTATACGTCACACTGTTATCTCTAACCCCCATCCGTACCGACACCCAATCCCACTGAAAACAAAATTTTCACTGTGATTGATGCATACAGTATATTTTTAGTATTCCAGTAGATAAGGACAGCCAATATATTTTTGCTTTCACTGGGGAAGACTTAAAATCCACCTGGACAGTCATGCCCCAGGGTTTCTCAGAGTCCTTACTTTTCACAAACTTAAAAGCCGATTCGGACGACAGAAAGTGTTCTGCAGGCTCCACTTCGTTCCAATACGCAGAGGATTCACTCTTCTGCCCCTTTTCTCAGCTCGCTGCACAGGAAGGCAACGTTCACCCGTTCAAACCTTTGGCCTTAAACGGACATAAAGTCACCAAAGGAAAACTGCCGTTTGCTCAAACTCAGGTTCGATACTTAGGGCCCCTGACCTCAGAACCTGGGCTAGATTTGGACCCAGGCCGACCTCAGGGCACCCTGAACATCCCTAAACCTAAAACCAGCACCAATTACGAGGTTTTCTTGGCCTACTAGCTGACTGCGTCAAAACTGGACTCCAAACTCTTACAGCTCAACCTCCTCATGCTTTCCTGAAAATCAACCAACCTGACCCTGTTATTTGGAAAGATCAGGATGACACAGCTTTTGGGACTTTAGGGAAAAGCCTAATACGACCCCTGCCTTTGGACGTCCTTTCAATTCCCCTTTTCCGTCTTGGTATGTGAGAGGGAAGGGAATGCCCTTGGAGCGCTCACCCCAAAATCACGGGCACCACTGCTGTCCCGTAGGGCATTACAGCCAACAACTTGAACCTGTGGCTCAGGGATGTCCCCTCGGCCCCCTTGCCTCCCAGCCATTCCTGCCACTGCCTTCTTGGTTGAGGCCACTGCGGAAATAGTCACGGGGTCCCCTCTCACGATCCTTGTGCCCCATGCAGTGGAAGCCCTCCTGAACTCTCCCCACACTCAATACTCTTCAGCCAGTCGCCTCACTTACCATCCTCCTGCTAACTGCTCCTCATGTGACTCTTCCTTTTTGCAACAGCCTTCACCCCACTATTCCTCTCTCCTCCCTCATTGACAAGACCCTCACGACTGCTCGATGTTGACACATCACCTTTTGACGCCCTGTGACAAGTTACAGGAATTTCTCTGCAGATGAAATACAGACTTTTAATGGTTCACTGATGGTTCTTATCTAAAGGATGAAAATGATAAATATCGTGCTGGGAGTGCTACTGGAACCCCTTTTGAAGTCACTAAGGGGGCACCTTTACCTCTGCCTACTTCAGCCAGACAGGCTGAGTTACATGCCCGGACTCGAGCTGGATACCCTGGCCAAGGGTAAAACCACAGGCACTTATACCGAGAGCTGGTACCCCTTCCAGTAAGTAACTCAGGACTTTGAAATAGCATGGCAACAGCGAGGGTTACCTCCAATGGAGATTAAATTTTAAATGGCTGTATCTAAATATATTACGTGCCATATTTTTAAGGGCTGCTCTGGCGTTACCAAGGTTCCTGGGCATTCCAGACGTGAGTCCCTGGAGGCCAAAGGAAACCACCTCACTGACATTTCTGCCCCAAATGCTGTTCTCTCGGAGGCCAACAGCCAGACCTCTGCCCTGGTCCAAAGGGATGTTCTCTCAAATGATAATTTGGAAAAATTGACCAGAGACCCCAAAAATTGGCCCCAGAAAAGGAAAAACAGTATTAGAAATCTAGTCATTGTTGGTTTGATAGTAAGAGAGAACTCTGGTGTGGACCAAATAACAATCTGCCCACAGAAGTTCCAAAATCCCCACTGCTCACCACTGTACGTGCTTTCAACCACTGGTCTCCTGACACGGTGATGGCATTCGTGGACCAATACAGGTGCAGAAAAGATAACAGGGTGCCTACTTCGCTCGTCCCACATCCAAGGTATAATCCAGGGAAAACTGCACTTCTCCCAGACTCTGAACCGTCCGACGGACCATTTGAGGTTTGGCAAATGGATCTCATACGGCTTCCCTACCTCAGGGAAAGAAACATGTTCTTGTCGTGGTCTGTATGTTCTGCCACCGGACCGAAGCTTCCTCTTGTAGACAGGCCAATGCTTCTTCTGTGGCTAAAATTCTGTTAAAGAAGATTACTCCTACCTGGGGGCCCCTCTCACACATCATGGTGGTCGGGAAACCCACTTCACCATTCAGGTGCTTTGTTAGTTAGGCGTGCACTGTTCGGCCGTGTGATGTTACCACACTTGCACTGTGCACACGCCACGCTCAGTCCTCAGAGTTGTCACACTCACTCGCGGCATCGTGAAGTCTCAACGGGAAAACTTTGTAGACTATAATGTAATTTGTTATTGTCATATTACTTTTTTTGTTTTGTATAATTATTTTTAGGTTTTGCATTTTATTACCTGTCAAACTTTTGTAAAAACGACGTACCCAATAAGGTGATTCTAGCTCATGCTTCAAGGTGATTTCCAACACTTACAACGTTGAGAAGACAGAAACTTTAGTTGGAAACCACCCGAGAGTCTCTCCCTCCTAACCTTCCTCGTTACTCAAATGTGGCCTGAAGTGGTTTCCAACTGCTATGCATTTTCCCTCCGATGTAGGACATGACAACCAGCAAAGGTCCTCCGTGCCACTGAGGGACTAAACCACTAAATACAGAAAACCTGACTCGGGACAGGTGCTGCTTTTGGGGAAAGCTCTTGATTAAAAAGGGGGAATGTGAAAATGAGTAAAGGAAACCTTATTTAGAGTGGAGTTGGGGGTCAGACGGGGTGGGGGGGACTCTCATGCCCCCACCCCTACTCCTTGCAGCCTTTGAAGATGCAACAGGAAGAGCCCTACCTTGCATTCAGTCAGGACCAAGTTCCCTTTACCACCCCTGCGGGATGAAGGAAGATTTTCTCCTGACCTGGCAACAGTCCAGCCAATGACAGAGAACACAGCCAGCCAATGAGAGGTGTCACAGCCCAGCCAATGAGACACTGTAATATCCAGCCAATGAGAGAGGGTCACAGCTCAGCTAATAAGAGATGAGAGATGGTAATACCCAGCCAATGTGAGATGTTCACAGCCCAGCCAATGAGAGATGATCACAGCCAAGCCAGACAGGTCACAACCCAGCCAATGAGAGACTATCACAGCCCAGCCAATGAGAGATGGGCACCACCCTGAAACTCCCATTTACCTCCACTGGACTTTTGTGCAGAACAGCCTTTGCAAATCCCCCTTTCATCCATAAAAGTGCATTCTTCTGCTTTGTTCTGAGTTTACCTATGGTTTGTAGTAAACTGAACGTCCTAGATTGCAATTCTTCCACTCCTGTACAGAGTAAAATAACTAGCAGTTTTACTTTTAAGATCAACAGAAAGGACAACAGGTCTAAAATCAATAACATAAGCTTCCAACTTCAAACATGAGATAAAGAAAAACAAAACCTAAAGCAAGTAGAAGGAAGGAAACAATAAACCAAACCAAGAGCTAAGAAAAAAAGAGAAGACGCAAATTACCAATCAGGAGTAGAACAGGAGTCATCACTACTAATCTTACAGACATCAAAAAGTTAAGGGAATAGTACAAACAATTCTATGCCCATAAACTTGATAATTCATTTTTTCACTGTTTATTTATTTTTGAGAGGGGGGGAGGGGGAGAGAGAGGGAGACACAGAACTCGAATCAGGCTCCAGGCTCTAAGCTGTCAGCACAGAGCCCGACGTGGGGCTCAAACTCACAAACTGTGAGATCATGACCCGAGCCGAAGTCAGACACATAATTGACTGAGCCACCCAGGCACCCCTAAATTTGATAATCTAGATAACATGGACTAATTCTTGAAGGGTGCAACCAACCAAAACTCACCCCAGGAAATACAGATAATATGAATAGCCCTACACCTGAAAAAGATTAAATCAGTGGTAAATCTTCCCCCAAAATGAAAACACCAAGCTCAGATGGTATTACTGGTGAATGTTACCAAACATTTAAGGAAGAAACAATACCACTTTTACAATTTCCTCCAGGAATCAGAAGGGAGATCATCTTTCAACTCATTTTGTAAGGCCAACATTACCTTTTATTCCCAAACTAGATAAATATATTACAAAAAAGAAAACTATAAACCAAGATCTTTCATGAATTTAGATATATTAGCAAAATGAACCCAGCAAACTGACTATATAAAAAGGGTAAAACATGGTAACATGGGGTTCATTCCAACAATGCAAGGCTGATTCAACATCTATAAATCAATGTAATTCATCATATTGATGGAATGAATGAAAACAGATATGATTATATTAATATATGCAGGAGAAACAAAGTTCAACATCCATTCATGCTAAAAACCCAAAAAACTTAGAAGGGAACTCCCTTAATCTAATAAGACTATTTTTAAAAATCGCAGCTAACATCACACTAAATAGTGAGATGTTAAGTTTCTCCCCAAGATCAGGAAGGAGGATGTTCCCTCTCACCACTTCTAATTCACCTTCATACTAAAAGTTTTAGCTAGTGTAATCACACAAGAAGAAGAGGTATACAAATTGGATAAAAAGAAATAAAAATAAATAAAATAAAAAGAATAAAATAAATAAAAAGAAATAAAGAAGAAAGAAGAAAATAAAAAGAATAAAAAAATCAAATAAAAAGAAATAAAACTATCTTTATTCACAGACAACATACCTCTCTATCCAGAAACCCCAAAGAATCTACCAAATAACTCCTGTACATAATAAGTGAATTTAGCACAGCTGAAAGGGACATAATCAAGATAAAAAAGACAACTGCTTTCCTATATACCAGCAATGAACACTTGGAATTTGAATTTTAAAAAATAACACACTTATAACAGCACCTCCCCACATGAAGTCCTGAGGTATAGATGTAACAAAATATGTACAGGATGTGGGTACAGAAAACCAGAAATCACTGATCAAAAGAAATCAAGGAGAATCTAAATAAAGGGAGAGATATTTCATGTTCTTGTATTTGGAAGACTCAATGTAGTAACGATGTCAGCAGATCGATGGTTTAATGCAATTCCTACTGAAATCCCAGCCAGCTTTTTGGAAACACACTCAAGTTTATTCTAATGTTTATATGAACAAGTAAATGTATTAGAATAGCCAATTTGATTCTGGAAAAGAGCAAAGTTGGAGGATTCACACTACCTGATTGCAAGACTGACTATAAACCGGTGAAAGAACCAACTCATGTTAAGGAGCATAACAGAGCCTGGAAACAAACCCACAAAAACACAGTTTTTGACAAAGGTGCAAAGACCATTCAATAAAGAAAGAACAGCTTTTTCAACAAGTGATGCCTGATACTGGAGTACATATGCAACAAACTGAACCTCACACAGATATTAACTCAAAATGGATCACTGACCTACATGTAAAATGCAGACATTATAAAACCTCTAGAAGAAAGTACAGGGGGGCATCTGCATGACCTTGGTTTTGGTGATGAGTTTTTAAGTATACCAGCAAAAGCAAATCTATGAAAGAAAAACTTTTAAGTTGAAATTAATTAAAATGAAAACCCTGAACTCTGTAAAAGCCACAGAGGATGAAAAGACGGACTGGGAGAAAGTACCTGCAAATCCCATGTCTGATGAAGGACACACATCAAACACATGCAAACAACTTTAAAGTTTGAATAAGAGGACAACTCTTTTTCTTTTTTTTTAAATGAGAGAGAGCATGTGCGAGCACGGGGGAGAGGGGCTGAGAGAGGGAAAGAGAGAATCCTAAGCAGGCTTCATGCTGTGAGCGCAGAGCCTGATGTGGGGCTCAGTCCCACAACCCTGGGATCATGACCTGAGCTGAAATCAAGAGTGGGACGCTCAACCGACCGAGCCACCCAAGCACTCCTAAAAACTGGCAAAATGAGAAAGGGAGGAGAGAGGGCAGGGGTGGGAGGACAGGTTCCCAGGATGACTGATAACTACTCTTTCCTGCTCATATGTTGGTTAATTGGAGATATTATAGGTATTTACATATTGTATTTTTTTTAAATGTTTATTTTGGGGAGACAGACAGAGTGTAAGCAGGGGAGGGGCAGAGAGAGAGGGAGACACAGAATCTGAAGCAGGCTCCAGGCCCCGAGCTGTCAGCGCAGAGCCCGATGCCAAGCTCCAACCCACGAAGTGCAGGATCATGACCTGGGCTGAAGTCGGGTGCTTAACTGACTGAGCCACCCAGGCGCCCCACATATTGCATTTTTATTTAAGAAAAAAATGAAAAGGACATCAGGGTGTGTAAATTGTGGTTGCTGCAGAATTTTTCTTGTAGAAAAGAAACTGGTATGAATTTGAATACTTCTGAGTAAGAAATGGTTGAGCAAATGCTAGCATACATTTCTCACGGAACACAAGCCAGTTACATTCTCACCAAGTTATGTTTACATGCACTGAGCTGGAACTTGACTGCAATACGGCAGTAAGTTAAAAAATAAAAGCAAGTTGCAGAGTAATAGTTTGGGTTGAGTTACATTTATGTGTTAAAAAAACTTCAAAATTATAGAAAAATGCATTTGTGAATTAGAAACATAAGGGAAAACTGGCATCATATGTGTCAATCTGTTAATACCAGTTTTAAGAGATTTACATTTGGAGCAAAAAAGGGAGCATTTGTCCTATTTATTCCCTTTATACACTTCTGTATTGTTTGAGCTTTATTTTGAAGTTAAAAATAAAACTTTTATATTATACTTTTTAGTTTCTACCGAAAGAAAAAAAATGGGCAAAAGATGTGAACAGGCACCTCACCAAAGACAGACAGATGAAAAGAAAGCGTATGAGAAGATGCTTCGTATAGGGAAGTGCAACTTAAAACCACAATGATATACCACTCTATGTCAGAACAGCAAAACACAGAAACACAAGAAAACCTAGCAATGTCAACTGCTGGCACAGATGGGGGGCAAGAGGAAGCCTCTTTCACCACTGGTGGGAGAGAGGGCAACGGTACAGCCATGTAGAAGGCAGTGTGGCGGTCTCTCAGCC